ACTTACAAGCTGTAAACATTTCTTAATTTTGTGCAAAAAACAACAAACACAAAACCTTTGCAAAATAATGACCTCTTCAATTTTTTTAAGCCAAAAAGCCACAACAAATCTATTGTCCTTGTTGCGTTTCCTCTAGAAATTGCCAGAACATGGTGCAGAATAGGTAAAATGCAGCAACAGGATGTGGGTATGTACACTAGAGAGCAGCCTGTTCCTTCTGTTCACTGTGATGGTTACACTTCCATTACCATTCTCACGTATGGGATCCACACAAGGTTTTCTTTTTCTTTTCTTTTAGAGGACCCAGTAAGCGAAGCATCCGTAAGTGTACTAATTTACAAGTGAAAACAAATATGAAAAAAATGACATGTTTGCACTTGTGTATATAAATATGCATTTTATATACACCTCAAAATAGCCTTGTATTCAACAAACATTTTACATTGCATGACAACACAGTGGAGGAAACGGCATGTGCAAATTCTTCTTGAAGCTGGTTTACCAATTCTTCGGCTCTTACAGTAAAGGAGCTGTTTGAAATTTAAACAAGCGTGGTTTTGAAGACAGCTGTCTGCAGTATTTAGGACTGGCTGATAAGTGGCCTCCCCCTGCTGTAGGACACAGAGAGAAACAACCAGACACGTAGATTCAGATCTTTGACACATTGCTTTCTTTACTTGGATGGTACACAAATAGTGATATAATAGTATGAAAATATTCTTACTGATTAAGATGAAATAGAGCTTTTGAAACTATTCACAAACAGGCATTGGGAGGAGATAGAAACCACACTGGATGTGAACACAGTCAATGATAAAACAACAAACATGAGACTCAAAAGTAAATCCAATAGTTGGACGATGGGATTCACGTTGGGAATGGGATGCAAATATTCTCTTATTTTCTTTGTTTTCTTCTTTCCTTCCCTCTCTCTGACCCCCCCCCCTCCTTTTTTTTTGGTTTGATGCACTGCAGACACATCTCTCCAGTCCATAAGCACAGACTGCATCTACTGTGATTCCTTTTTACTTCATTTTTACCCATTTCTCCTGTACCATTGTATTTAACATGAATAGCAATTTATTTATTTAAACATTTTTTCTTTACAAAAGAAAAAGATTGTTGTCCACACTTTTTTTAACATATATTACACAGACTTTTTTTTTGTTGTAAGCGAAACTTCACATCATTTTCATTGTATTTAGTTCATGTTTTGTTTACATAATACAAAGTTTTGTTGGTTTTTTTTTCCGTCCTCTTTTTATGTTTCCAATTAGCTTTGAAACAATAATTAATGGTCCTGAAGTAGAAACACGCATTAAAGCTCAGTAATCCATCCACGAGAACCAAAGCCTCAGAGCCCAGGATGAATCCTTTGTCTGTTTGTAGAACATCAACAGGTTCCAGACTTAAAGTCCCCGTGTTCTCAAATGTGGAGAGAACAGCAGAACAGTAAATCCACTTCGAGAACGTCTGTGTTAAGCGGACACGTTTCACATCACAGTGAGATGCTGCATAAAAAAAGTATCGAGAGGTTTGCCCAGAATCCTTTTCTTGTAATTCCCCCTCCTCTGGTGTATCCAAAAGAATGGATTCACTGTATTTCCAAACAGTTACAGGTACTCACAAAGCAGGGTCATACTTCACATTCCCGAGAAGGCTGCTGTTGGCAAGTGCAAGAGCCGTATTCATTGATGATTACCAGGGCTCCCTCGATGTGGTTAGGTTTATAGTCAACATAATACTCTGGGGTAGAAATTGCAGCCATCTGCTGCATGCTTTGCTTTTGCTTTTGCTTGCGACGCTTACTGCTGAAGCACTGCCTCAGTTGTCTTATTCCGGCTGGAAAGCACTTCCATGCTACATAAAGCATGAGAACAATGATGAGAAAGGAAAAGATAAGTGCCATGGTTCCGGTCACCACCTTGTGAATCTGCATGGTGCTCTCCAGATCATCATTGTCCACTGTGACGGTAACAGAACTCGTGACCACTTCACTCCCCTCACCTTCGTATGATCTGGGAGTAAATGGGCCCAAGAACACAGAACCTCCTTGGCCCACATCCCTGGTGGAGGTGTACAGCCCCGCCGTAGTTGCCTCCATTGGTGGATCCTCACAAAGCTGAAAAGCATAAACAGCATCCAACACGTCCTCGCCTTGTGCAGTGTCAGGGCTTGAACACAGCAGGGAACTGTCACGCTGGCCTCGGAAGGCACTCAGCCAAGACGCCAAGGCACACACGTTACGGCTGCACTCCCAGTCATTTCCTGCCAGGGTGATGCTGTCCAAAGATGACCACGAATCCAGGATGCGTTGGTCCACGTAGGTCAAACGATTGGAGTCTAGCATTAGTGCTTTGAGGGTTGGTGTACTCTCAAAAACATGTGGCTCAATGTACTCGATTTCATTAGCTGACAGGTCAATCTTCTCTAAGAAATGCCATGTCCAGTCCAGGGTATTGACAACGATGGTGGCACGGTTGTTGTGCATGTACAGTGTACGTAAGGAGATCAGGCGAGGAAAGTGGGCCAGGTTAACTTTAACCAGCTCATTGTGCTCAAGGTGCAACTCGGTCAACTTGAAAAGGCCAGCAAAGGAGTTTCGGGCCAGGCTCTGCAGCTGGTTGTATCCCAAGTCCAGAAACTGCATGCTACGACAGTCCTGAAAAATCCGCACTGGCACAAATTTGAGAGCATTGTATCGTAGATGCAAATTGGTGAGCTTCCTAAGGCCGTGAAACAGGTCTGCCTCGAGTGCCTGCAGTCTGTTGTATGACAGATCCAGAATACGCAGATTTGGGAGGGGCCTAAACGTGCCATTTGGCAAACTCTCAATCCGGTTGCTGCTCAGATCCAACTCCTTCACTCGTCTTAGCCTGTCAAATGCAGCCTCCTCTACAAAGTCAATGTTGTTGTGATCTAAGTAGAGCCAGGTTAGCTGGGACAAAGTAGCTAGTTGGCCTTCACGCAGCTCAGTCAAGTTGTTCTCTCTCATAGACAAGCCCATTGCTCCGCTCAGATTGCGGGGGAAGTCTGTGAGATTGAGCCCCTCGCAGTACAGCAACTTGCTGTCGCAGCGGCACAGTCTTGGACAAACCCCTTCTGCCAAGGGAACCATTAAAAAAATGCCCAGTGAACACAGTATCAACCCAGGGGGCTTCTTCAGTGGCCACTTTATGTACAGACCAATTAGAAGGAAATCCATTAGCATAAATATCCAGAGATGTCACTGAGAAAATGTCCATTGAACCACTCAGTATATTATGTTTTTCACCTTCACGCCATTTTTATCACATCTTATTATTATAGTTTATCACCTTTCCTTAGGCTTTTGTGTTAGAGCCGTACGTGCTGTTCTATTTTATTTATTTTTTAAATGTTGTTGAATAAAATCGTCAATACGCCTACAAAAAAAGTCCGGACGATTACTGTGAAAATTAAATGATAGACGGAAAGTAAACGGGTAAGAAAAAATTCCCTTATTGACGGATCTTATTTGAAAAGGTTCCTACTCACCCCTATCCAAAAGCTGACAATCTCCATTCAGCCTCTTGCTTTGTGCCTCAACACTAATTATGTGCGCATCTAAAAAAGACCCTACTGTGGTACAAACCCCTCCCCGCCCCCTATCCCCTTTTCAGTGGACACCAGATCCTTGGCAGGCTTACAATGTCTTAGTTCTCCTCAAGTGAAAGAGCCAGAAAGAGAAGGAATTCAAGTAGCTTTCGGCGAGATGGTGGGAAGTGCAAGTTTCCCTGTATGTATGCATGAGCTCTGTCTCTTTAGCTCCTCTGCAGTCCTCTGCTGCAATGATCAGAGGGGGAAAGAGACAAGCGGTGAGAAAAAAAAAAAAAAAAAAAGACCAAGATTTTTTTTTTCTCCTCTTAAATATCTCCTCTCTCCTCCCGTTCTTGCTCAAGTTCAGCAGATTTGACAAGTTTTGTCCATGGGTAGCAATCACTGTCTTGAAGGGTTTAATTCCATTCAAGCAGGACAATGATGCGATTAGTTACGGATGCACGCGGGTCTAAAGAGGTGATCCCTGTTCTCTGCTTTTCTGAGGATCAGTATTCCTTGTGATCTTAGTGGCTCGTCTTGGGGTGCGGAGACGCGGGTATCTGTCGTAGCTCGCAGGTTTCATTCATTCCCTTGCTCTCCGGCTGTTTTCTCAGCCCGCTGTAGGAGGCTGCTGAGTGTTGGTGCTGGTAGGCAGGCAGGGTGGGAAATGTGGGAAGCAAAGCAGCGCGCAATCCCTTGCAGCAGACCAGTGCACTGACAGCACATGCAGAAGCACCTTCTGTTCACTGAGTGTCGTAAGCCCCTCACCATGTCTTTCCCTTGATCTCTCACTCGCTTGTTCATGCAGCTCTCCTCCCCTCTCTCCACTCCCTCCCCCTCTTCATTTTTTTTCTTTTTCTGCTCCTTGGACATTTAAATATTCAAAGTGGGCTGGCTTCCCTCCCTCTCTCTCTCTTTCTCTCTTCCCTCTCCTCTCCCTCCT